ATCCCCTTCCATTCACATCAAGATTCATTTTCAATTCTCTTAATATAAAGAAGATCAGTTCAGCATATATTAAGTAAAGATTTCAACAGTTTGCACCCACACAGAAACACAAAGTGAAAAATACTGTTTGAGTACTAGTTATAGCATTAAATCAAAATGTACAGCACATTAAGGACAGAGATCTTACATGAGGAGTAAATGCACAGTGACTCCTGTTGTTGACTTAACAAATTGACACTCTTGTTTATGGCATCAGTAATAGTCAAAGTGGAGGTTCTCACCTCCCTTCAGAGAAAGGTACCTCCTTCTTTGATGACCCGTTCTTTCCACTGGGATCTCACTCGTGGAGATCTTTCATTTAGGTTCCCCCCACCCAGAGTGTCTTGGCTTTCCATGCCTGAAATACTCTCATGGGCATTTCAGCCGGATCTGCATGCCTTAGGGGCTGATTCTGAGGCCAGAGTGCTGTTTAGGACATCTGCCATTCTATGGGTCTGCTGTGTATCTCACTTCCCATGTTGGATCATTCTCTCCCTTTTTGATTCTATCAGCTGGTATTTGCAGACACTATTCTTGTTTATGTGATCCCTTTGGTTCTTAGTCCTATCATTACGATCAATTGTGAACAGAATTTGATCACTTGGACTAGTGAGATGGCATTGGTACATGCCACCTTGATGGGATTGAATTGGAATCCCCTGGTATGTTTCTAACTCTACTGTTTGAGGTAAGTCAGCTTGAGCATGTCCTGAATTGCACATCTCTTCCCTCTCTTATTCCCACTCTTATATTTAACAGCGATCACTTTTCAGTTAAGTTTCAGCACTTAAGAAGAATTGTGTATTGATTATAGTATTCAACCAAAAGTATTAAGTAGAACAAACAAAAAAAATACTAAGAGGGATAACATATTAAGTTGCTCATCAACAGTCAGGGTGAGAGCTGATTCATTTTCACAAGAGAGATTTTCTATCTTGTCAATTAAGGATTTCTGTAGTTTGAGAATTTGTTTTTGAGAACTTCTTAATGTTCTTATCAATTTTTTGAGATCCGCTTCTTGCATTTCTTCTATCTCATCATCTTCATAATCTTGAATTGGGGTGGCTGTTTCATTTGGGGGGGGGGTTCATAGTGTCTTCCTTGTTCATGTTACCTAGGTTTTTGCATTTGTTGTTTGGCATATTGGAGATATTCTTTGGTTTCTTCGGTGTGGTGTTTTTTCTCGTTTTTCTGTGACTCTAGACTAAGTGGACTGTCTGCTTTTGATGGATCCTTAGAGGCTGTGATGGGTGTGGCCAGAGAGCTCTGTTTGGTTCTTCAGGGTTAAGGGTGTGCCAAAGGTGATTCACCAGATGGTTCTCTCTCTCTCTCTTTGACTCATTTGGGAAGTAATTCCACACAACTGAGTAGAATTGAGAGTAGTTGATGTATGAAATCTGGCCCCTGTGGGTATTTGTCTGCTTACTGCTGGGACCACACAAAGAGTTTATGCAGCCCTCAGTGTGGTCTCAAATTTCTCCCCATTCTCTCACCAGGTTGCCCGGGTTACCGAGTTTGTGTACTTGGTGAGTTCTCTCGCTCCCCCTCAGATTTTCACAGTCTCAGTTAGTTAGCTCCCCACTTTCATTAGGTGTTAACCTCCTGTTATTTCTCCCCACCAGAGTCAGGTTTTTCTGCTTGGCTAATGAGGGGCGCCACTTTACATATGCAAAATGGCGCCTGCCCTTTGTCTTGCTCAGCTTTGTAAGGTGAGTGGAGAGAGAGGCTAATGTCCGTGCCGGTTCCCCTTATTTATTTGATTTTTTCTCTCCTCCAGTCAGCCTGGTGAACTCTCCCCAGTGGGGCTTTAGGCCTCGTTCCCTCTAGGCTCTTTCTGCCTTTCCCCGCCAATGTCTTGGGTTACCGAGGTCTTTTTCTCACCTCCCCTTCCAGTGCTGGCGTGCAGACTCTGCAGCTCGACTTCCACGCCATGGGCGACCTTGCTCTCCCCATAGGTCCACCGTGTCACATTCACTAGATCCGGAAGAGTTTCCTCTGCTATTTTTCCCTGATCCTTTTCCTGAGGCTACCGTAACTCCACTTTTATTAAACTATTTTTTCCTGGACTATCAGTGCGCGCCCTCACTATTTTGCCATCTTGGCCCTGCCCCCTAATTTGGGTATTTCTATAACAAATTCCCTTATTTCTTCTAAGACAAAGGAGGAAAAGTGATCAATTCAGAATCCATTGGATTTCACAATACACTGTGAAGTTCCGGACTCTCTGGAAACAATCATTTCCATTTCATCTGCATTCTTGCTATTTCTCGTACATCAAGACCCATTTACAAAAATTATTAACCAAGCAAGACTCCTTTTAGAAGTCAAAGTTGCGGCCGGCGCCGCGGCTCACTAGGCTAATCCTCCGCCTAGCGGCGCCGGCACACCGGGTTCTAGTCCCGGTCGGGGCGCCGGATCCTGTCCCGGTTGCCCCTCTTCCAGGCCAGCCCTCTGCTGTGGCCAGGGAGTGCAGTGGAGGATGGCCCAGGTGCTTGGGCCCTGCACCCCATGGGAGACCAGGAAAAGCACCTGGCTCCTGGCTCCTGCCATCGGATCAGCGCGGTGCGCCGGCCGCAGCGCGCCGGCCGCGGCGGCCATTGGAGGGTGAACCAACGGCAAAAGGAAGACCTTTCTCTCTGTCTCTCTCTCTCACTGTCCACTCTGCCTGTCAAAAAAAAAAAAAAAAAAAAAAAGAAGTCAAAGTTGCACTTTTTAAAAATTTTCTTTTTTCTTTCTTTTTTTTAAATTTGAAAGGCAGAGACAGAGATGGAGAAAGTGAACACCAGGGCAAGAACATCCATGCACTAAAACAGTCCCCGAATGCCTGCAACAGCCATGGATGGGGCAGGCTGAAGCCAGGGGCCTGGAGCTCAATCCGTGTCTCCACATGGGTGGCAGGGTCTCCTCTACTCGAGCCATCATCAGTTTCTTTCTTGGGTGCGCCTATCAGGAAGCTGGATCAGAAATGGACCTGGGACCTGAACTCAGCCATTTGAAATGGGTTGCAGACATCACAAGCAATGTCTTTTTTTTTTTTTTTTTTTTTTTTTTTTTTTTTTTTTGACAAGCAGAGTTAGTGTGAGAGAGAGAGAGACAGAGGGAAAAGTCTTCCTTCTGTTGGTTCAACCCCCAAATGGCTGCTATGGCTGGCGCACTGCGCCGATCCAAAGCCAGTAGCCATGTGCTTCCTCCTGGTCTCCCATGCAGGTGCAGGCGCCCAAGCACTTGGGCCATCCTCCACTGCACTCCCGGGCCACAGCAGAGAGCTGGACTGGAAGAGGAGCAACTGGGACAGAATCTGGCACCCCAACCAGGACTAGAACCCAGTGTGCCAATGCCACAGGCAGAGGATTAGCCAAGTGAGCTGCGGCACTGTCCCCAAGCAGTGTTTTAACAACTGTACCAAATACTGGCCCCAAAATACCATTTTTTGTAAGATACTCCAAACTGTTGAAATCCTTACTTAATGCATACTAAACTGATCCTCTGTAAAAAAAAAAAAAAAAAAAAAAAAGAAATTATCAATTCCCAACTTGACTCTCACTGGGATTAAACATGACAATAGGTCTGCTCTGATTTCATCATCATTTAAAAAAATCATCTATTATTTTTCACTTTATGTTTCTGTGTGGGAGCAAACTGTTGAAATCCTTACTTAATGTATACTAAGCTGAGCTTCTGTATATTAAGATAATCGAAAATGAATCTTGATGTGAATGTAAGAGGAGAGGGATTGGGAAAGGGGAGGGTTGTGGGTGGGAGGGACAGTATGGGGGGGAAGCCATTGTAATCCATAAGTCGTACTTTGGAAATTTATATTCATTAAATAAAAGTTTTTTAAAAAAATAGGATGTATCGGAAGATACCACAAGTTTCAAGACAAACTACAGATGGTGCTAGCGCCATGGCTCCCTTGGCTAATGCTCCGCCTGCAACCCTGGCAGGTCAAATAATGAAAAGTAGCCTCACAGCATTTCAGTTACTAAGGGAAGAAAAAATCATAACCATATAAACAGAAAGAAACTTGTTTAAGATGCAGAAATCAATACAGGCTAAAAAAAAAAAAGTAAGAAAAAAGCCAGTCCACATTGGATTGACTTTGACATTCAAGAAAATTGGGCCTTTAATTCAAAGGTCTGTCCACTTCCTGGTCCTGATGGGTGCATTGACATGGACATCTCAGCGCAATTCCAGCTGGAAAGACAGAGGCAGAAACAAAAATGTTAAGAAAGTAATTTTTATACATGCTGAGAATCACAAGAAAACTAGACTTTGTATGTTGGATGACTTTGTAAAAATCTGGCTACTGTATAAAAAATACAAAAGTCATATAAATGGAGAGTAGAAACAAAATTACCAAGCTATGCATGGTCTGTTCATAGTAGAAAAGCTTCAATTTTGTCACATGTTTGTCCTCATTGCAAGGGTCATACCTATCTGTAGTGTAGGGCTCATCACCGTTTCTAGGATCTTCCTTGCCTTCTGCTGAGCCTGTACTCTATGGCACTACTATCACATTACATTGAGAGTATTCAGATCATAATTATGTTTCAGATTTTTTTTTTTGGTTAACAGAATATCAGAGAACGAATAATTAAATAACTTAAGAATAGTCTTCAGGTCAAAATAGGAGACAGGAATGTCCATGGAACTAACTTACCCTGTCCAAAGAAAAATACTCTCTTTTGAATAGTGAATAATTTGGCCAAATTCATTTTCTGTTGGATTGCCTTTCTTTGGAAGGTTAATTTTGTACATAATATTGATTCTAGTGCTCTAGCATATTCAGTCTCCTTTGGAAAACCTTATTAACTTGTTCAAGTGATGTTATACATTGAATTCTACTTATAAATTATATATGTGTTGCCTAATCCAATACAGTCATCACTGAAAGAATTTAAGAATTCAGGAACATTTATTTTCCTTATTATCTAAAAGAAATTTCTATATTTTATTTTTAGGTTAAAAAGTATTCCAGATAAAATTGATAAAGTTGACAGTAAAGTTAAAAGAATTGGACCACATATAGAGATCTTCCAAGTTTTCCGAGAAAAAAACAAATTTTTAATGAGCAAGAAAATGGTTAAAATGATTACCACAATGCAGGCACATGTCAGGGGGTGGCTTGAACGCAGAAGATTTCAAAGAATAATGACCAAGGTAAGGTACTCATTAGATATTGCATAGATTCAATTAAGTAGCATTTTGAATAGTCACCTGGTTGGTATGTCTTAAGATTTTGGTAAGTAAAGTCTGTACACATACTTTTGAATGAGGATATGCGATGAATACATTGCTATGCAGAGAGTTTAAGATTGTCCCATTTGGAAGCTCTGGAAAAAGGCCTGGTTTATCCCTCCCTCAACAGTTTTGGTGCCACTTGCTCTTAAATCAGGATGAAGTATGTTTCCACTTAAATTGTTCCCTCATTGCTATCTGTTCTCTATGTAGGACAACTTTCTTCCACTTCCAATACTCCTAGAATACACACACACACACACACACACGTGCAGATGTGCATAAACATAAATATCTACCTAGAAAACTTTTAAAAATCACTTCTTAAAATTTTATTTGAAGTCCTTGGCCCAACTCTTAAGTGGATTGTTTGTTTTGTTGTTGTGGAGTTTCTTGATTTCTTTGTAGATTCTGGTTATTAATCCTTTATCTGTTGCATTGTTTGCAAATATTTTTTTCCCATTTTGTCAGTTGCCTCTTCACTTTCCTGACTGTTTCTTTTGCAGTACAGAAACTTCTCAATTTGATGCAATCCCAAGAGTTAATTTTGGCTTTGACTGCATGTGCCTCTGGGGTTTTTTCCAAGAAGTCTTTGCTGGTGCCAATATCTTGCAGGGTTTCTCCAATGTTCTCTAATAATTTGATGGTGTCGAGTCGTAGGTTTAGGTCTTTAATCCATGTTGAGTGGATTTTTGTGTAAGGTGTAAAGTAATGGTCTTGCTTCATGCTTCTGCACATGGAAATCCAGTTTTGCCAGCACCATTTATTGAATATACTGTCCTTCCTCTAGGAATTGGTTTTAGATACTTGATCAAATATAAGTTGACTGTAGATGTTTGGGTTGATTTCTGGTGTTTCTGTTCTGTTTCATTGGTCTATCCATCGGTTTCTGTATTAATACCGTGCTCTTTTGATTATAACTGCCCTGTAGTATGTCTTGATGTAGTATTGTGATGCCCCCGGCTTTGTTTTTGTTGTACAAAATTGCTTTAGCTATTCGAGGTCTCCTGTGTCTCCATATGAATTTCAGCATCATTTTTTTCTAGATCTGAGAAGAATGTCTTTGGTATTTTGATTGGTATCACGTTGAATCTATAAATTGCTTTTGGGAGAATGGACATTTTGATGATACTGATTCTTCCAAACCATGAGCATAGAATATTTTTCCATTTTTTGGTATCCTCTTCTATTTCTTTCTTTAAGGTTTTGTAATTTTCATCCTAGAGACCTTTAACGTCCTTGGGTAAGGTTATTCCAAGGTATTTGATTGTTTTTGTAGCTACTATGAATGGGATTGATCTTAGAAGTTCTTCCTCAGCCATGGCACTGCCTGAGTATACATAGGCTGTTGATTTTTGTGCATTGATTTTATATCCTGCTACTTTGCCAAACTCTTCTAGGACTTCCAATAGTCTCTTAGTAGAGTTCTTTGGATCCCCAAAATTTAGAATCATATCGTCTGCAAAGAGGGATAGTTTTACTTCTTCCTTCCCAATTTGTATCCCTTTAATTTCTTTTTCTTGCCTGATGGCTCTGGCTAAAACTTACAGAACTATATTGAATAGCAGTGGTGAGAGTGGGCATCCCTGTCTGGTACCAAATCTCAGTGGAAATGCTTCCAACTTTTCCCCATTCAATAGGATGCTGGCCGTGGGTTTTTCATAAATTGCTTTGATTGTATTGAGGAATGGTCCTTCTATACCCAATTTGCTTAGAGTTTTCATTATGAAAGGGTGTTGGACCTCAATAGACATTTTTCAAAAGAGGAAATCCAAATGGCCAACAGACACATGAAAAAAATGTTCAGGATTTCTATCAATCAGGGAAATGCAAATCAAAACCACAATCAGGTTTCACCTCACCCCAGTTAGAATGGCTCACATACAGAAATCTACCAACAACAGATGCTGGCGAGGATGTGGGTGTCGCTCCCCCTCTTCGTGGAGGAACGACACAGGACCCTGTGTTGTTCTTTTGTCTGCTCAGCCCTCCCCGGGTTTGCTGCTGGTTCTTCCCGGGTTGGCTACCGTCCCTCCACCTCCGTGGAGGGGCGGGCCCCCTGCCACTTACCCCACTTCCGCAGGGGAGCGGCACACCGCTGGCCGGCTCTCTCGGGGGCTGCTCAGGTGTTCCTTCAGATAGATGTTCCTGGTGCATGTTGTCTCTCTCCTCCTTTATAGTCCTCTTCCACCAATCCCAACTCTGCTACCCACACGCCAAGTATGCTGCTCTCCTCCAATCAGGAGCAGGTCCTACAGTTTATTGGTTGAACTGGAGGCAGCTGTGTAGAAGCTGTTTCCTCCTCTCCCAGCGCCATATTGTGGGAGAGCAGATGCATAGAATAAGTCTTAATTCCAGTAACAGTTTAGTCCGAGTTGCTCCCAGTTGCTACCCACAGATCCCCCTTTCTTTTTATTTTTGGCGTTGATACGCGCCTGTCTTCGGTGCCCCGCGGCACACACTCTGCTCTGCTTGCTAGAGTTGCCCACAGGTGCTTACAAGCCCTATCGATCAGGCAAACCTTATCCGGGTCCTCTCTTCACCATGTTGTGAGGAGGTTTTTAGGCGCTGATGAGTGCCTGTGTTCGGTGCCCTGCAGCGCATGCTCTGCTCTGCTAGAACTGCCTGCAGGTGCTTACAAGCCCTAGCAATCAGGCAAACCGAATCCAAGCCCTCTCATTGCCGTCTAGTGGGGAGACTTATTGGTGTTGATAATGTGCCTGTCTTCGGTGACCTGCAGCCGCCCACAGGTGCGTATCATCTTACTAATCAGGCAGACTGAATTCAAGCTCTCTCATTGCCAAGTTGTGGGGAGGCCTTATTTTTCTCTATTTCTCTACCTCTGGGCATTCCTATTTCTCCTATTTTACTTCTATCTGCCACCATTCCTATTTCTCTCATTTTACTTCTAAACTTGTTTCTCTTATCCCTGCGGCAACCCGGTGCCCGCCCCGAGGCTGCTTCTCGGCGCCTCGCCCCGCGGCGGCTTCCCGGCTCTGAGCCACTTCCCGGCTTCGCACGCTCTCCGTGGTCTCCACGCCCTTTGCACCCGCACCACGGCCTTCACGCCAGCCCCGCATTCTCTCTATTAGCGCCCCGTGCGCTCTCCCCGTTTGTGCCCCGCGCGCTCTCTCTGCACGCGGCAGCTTCCCCGAATCACACAGCCTAGCTCACGTTTCCACCACTGGTATTCAGTCTAAGTTCCCTGGGCTAACCTGGCGAATTCAACCTAGCTCACGTCTGCGCCTTTCGGTTTGGCTTCCCATCTTTTGCTCCCCGGGCTAATCTGACGGATTCCAACCTGGCTTATGTGTCCGCCTCTAGTTTTAGCTTTTCGCCTTTTGTTCCCTGGGCTGACTTGAAGAATCCCAAGCTAGCTTACGTCTCCGCCTCAGCCTGCCCCCGCGGCTTCATCCTCCCTAACATATTTTTCTCTACCCAGTATGTTTCCTAACTTTTCTTCCAACAATATTCCCCTCTCATTTCTCCTGGCTTCTCCCCACATTCCGTATCCGAGTCTAAGTTTCTTCCAGCTTTCACTTTCGCTTTCAATCCTAAAGTCCAATCCTAACTTCTTTCCCACAGTCCGTATCCGAGTCTATGCCTAGGCTTTCAATAGCTTCTTCCGGCACCTTTTCCGTCTGGCTTTCCCTAGGCTCTTTGCTAGTCTCTCTCTCTGGTATTTTCCCACTTCTTCCCACCTAGGTTTCCTATCCGAGTCACGGCACCATTATGTCGCTCCCCATCTTCGTGGAGGAACGACACAGGACCCTGTGTTGTTCTTTTGTCTGCTCAGCCCTCCCCGGGTTTGCTGCTGGTTCTTCCTGGGTTGGCTACCGTCCCTCCACCTCCGTGGAGGGGCGGGCCCCCTGCCACTTACCCCACTTCCATAGGGGAGCGGCACACCGCCGGCCGGCTCTCTCGGGGGCTGCACAGGTGTTCCTTCAGATAGATGTTCCTGGTGCATGTTGTCTCTCTCCTCCTTTATAGTCCTCTTCCACCAATCCCAACTCTGCTACCCACACGCCAAGTACGTTGCTCTCCTCCAATCAGGAGCAGGTCCTACAGTTTATTGGTTGAACTGGAGGCAGCTGTGTAGAAGCTGTTTCCTCCTCTCCCAGCGCCATATTGTGGGAGAGCAGATGCATAGAATAAGTCTTAATTCCAGTAACAGTTTAGTCCGAGTTGCTCCCAGTTGCTCCCCACAGTGGGGAAAAAGGGACACTCACCCACAGTTGGTGGGAATGCAAACTGGTTAAGCCACTATGGAAGTCAGTCTGGAGATTCCTCAGAAACCTTAATATAACCCTACCATTCAACCCATCCATCCCACTCCTTGGAATTTACCCAAAGGAACTGAAATTGGAAAGCAAAAAAGCTGTCTGCACCTTAATGTTTATTGCAGCTCAATTCACAATAGCTAAGACCTGGAACCAACCCAAATGCCCATCAACAATAGACTGGATAAAGAACTTATGGGACATGTACTCTGTAGAATACAATACAGCAGTCAAAAACAATGAAATCCAGTCGTTTGCAACAAAATGGAGGAATCTGGAAAGCATCACGCTGAGTGAAATAAGCCAGTCTCAAAGGGATAAATATCATATGTTCTCCCTGATCAGTGACAACTAACCGAGCACCTAAAAGGAAACCTGGTGAAGTGAAATGGACACTGTAAAAAACAGTGACTTGATCAGCCCTTGCCCTGACTGTTGATGAACAACTTAATACTTTATCCCTTTTAGTATTTTTTTTACTTAATAATATTGGTTGAACTCTGTAATTAATACGCAATTATTCTTAGGTGTTGAAATTTAACTGAAAAGTGATGTCTGTTAAATATAAGAGTGAGAATAAGGGAGTATATATACAATTTGGGACATGCTCAATTGGACTTGCCCCAAATGGTAGAATTAGAA